CACTAAGTTGTGTCCAATTCTTTGCAACTCCATGGACTGTAGCATGCTAGGATTCTCTGTCCTCCACTATCTCCCAGACTTTGCTCAAGTTCAAGTCCATATTGTTCTTTACAACATTAAATTTTACTATCACCACCAGACACGTCCACAGTTTCACGTCACTTCTGCTTTGGCCCAGATATCTCATTCTTTTGGGTAGTTGTTCAGGTCCTCAGTTGTGTATGGCTCTTTGTGACCCCATGGACTGCAGCATGCCAGGCTTCCCTGCCCTTCATCATCTCCTGGAGTATGCTCAGACTCATGTCCATTGAGTTGGTGATGACATCCAAACATCTCATTCTCTGTCATCCCATTCCCCTCCTGCCTTCAATCTTTCCCAGCATAAGGGTCTTTTCCAGTGAATCAGTTCTCCTCATCAGGTGGCCAGAGTATTGGAGCTTCAGTTTCAGAATCAGTCCTTGCAATGAATATTCAGGATTGAATACCTTAGGATTGACTGGTTTGATGTCCTTGCTGTCCAAGGGACTTTCAAGAGTCTTCTCCAACTCCACAGTTCAAAGACATCAATTATTTAGCATTCAGCTTTTTTTTTAATTGTCCAGCTATCACAGCCATACATGATTACTGGAAAAGCCAAATCTTTGACTATATGGACATTTGTCAGCAAAAGAATATCTATGTTTTTTAATAAACTGTCTAGGTTTGTCATTCCTTTTCTTCAAGGAGTAAGTGTCTTTTAGTTTCATGGCTGTAGTCACCATCCACAGTGATTTTGGAGCCAAAGAAAATAAAATCTGTCACTGTGTTCATTGTTTCTCCATGCATTTGCCATGAAGTGATGGGACTGGATGCCAAGATCTTAGTTTTTTGAATGCTGAGTTTTAAACCTTTCCATCTCTACTCTTTCACCTTCATCAAGAGGCTCTTTAATTCTTGGTCACTTACTGCAATAAGGGTGGTGTCATCTGAATATCTGAGGTTATTGATACTGCCCCCAGAAATCTTGATTCCAGCTTGTGATTCATCCAGCCTGGCATTTCACATGAGGTACTCTGCATATGTTAAATAAGCAGAGTGACAATATACATTCTTGATGGGCTCCTTTCCCAGTTTTGAACCAGTCTATTGTTTCATGTCCGGTTCTAACTGTTGCTTCTTGACCAGCATACAGGTTTCTCAGGAGGCATGTCAGGTGGTCTGTTATTCCCATCTCTTTAAGAATTTTACACAGTTTGTTATGATCTACACAGTCAAAGGCTTTAGTGTAGTCCATGAAAGAGATCAAAGTAGAAGTAGATACCCCCACCCCCTTGGAATTCTCTAGCTTGTTCTATGATCCAACAGATGTTGATAGTTTCATCTCTGGTTCCTCTGTCTTTTCTAAACCCAACTTGTACATCTGGATGTTCTTGGTTCACATATGTTGAGGCTTATCTTGAAGGATTTTGCGAATTACTTTGCTAGCATGTGAGATGAGAACAATTGTGCAGTAGTTTGAACATTATTTGTCATTGCCTTTCTTAAGGATTGGAATGAAAACTGAACTTTTCCAGTCCTGTGGCCACTGCTGAGTTTTCCAAATTTGCTGATGTATTAAGTGCAGTGCTTTCACAGCATCATCTTAAAAAAAAAATAAGACTTGAAATAGCTCAGCTGGAATTCCATCACCTCCACTAGTTTAATCTGTAGTGCTGCTTCCTAAAGCCCACTTGACTTCACACACCAAGATGTCTGGCTCTAGGTGTGATCACACCATTATGGTTATCTGGGTCAAGAGATCTTTTTTATATAGTTCATCTATGTATTCTTACCATCTCTTCTTAATATCTTCTGCTTCTGTTAGGCCCATACCATTTTTGCCCTTTATTGTGACTATCTTATATGAAATGTTCCCTTAGTATTTTTAACTTTCTTAAAGAGATATCTAGTCTTTCCCATTTTATTGCTTTCCTATATATCTGGATTGTTCACTCAAAACACTTTATTGTCTCTCCTTGCTATTCTCTGGAACTCTACATTCAGATGTGTATATCTTTCTTCTTCTTTGCCTTTAGCTTCTTCTTTTCTCAGCTATTTGTAAGGCCTCCTCAGACAACAATTTTGCCATTTTGCATTTCTTTTTCTTAGGGATGATTTTGATTACCGCCTCCTGCACAATGTTACAAACCTCCACTCATAGTTTTTCAAGCAATCTGTCAATCACATCTAATCCTTTGAATTTATTTTTAATTTCCATTGTATTATCATAAGGGATTTGATTTAGGGTTTACTTGAATGGCCTAGTGGTTTTCCCTATTTTCTCCAATATAAGAATAAGGAGTTCAGTAAGAGGTGCAATAAGGGGTTCATGACCTGAGCCATAGTCAGCTTCTGGTCTTGTTTTTGCTGACTGTATAGAGCTTCTCTATCTTTGGCTACAAATAATATAATCAGTCTGATTTTGGTATTCACCATCTGGTGATGTCCATATGGTTCACTGATTCCTAAAATGTCAATGTTCACTCTTGAGATCTCCTGTTAGACCACTTCCAATTTGTGTTGATTCATGAACCTAACATTCCAGGTTCCTAATGCAATATTGTTCTTATAGCTTGGGTCTTTACTTTCACCACCAGACACATCCACACCTCAGCATTGTTTCCACTTTGGCTCAGCTTCTTCATTCCTTCTGGAACAACTTCTTAGCTCTTCTCTAGTAGCATATCAGACATGCTTCAACATGGGTGACTTATCTTTCAGTGTCATATGTTTTTGCTCTTTATTCAGTTCATGGCACCCCCTGGCAAGTATACTGGGATGGTTTGCCATTCTCCCCTCAGTGGATCACTTTTTATCAGAACCCTCCACTATGACCTGTCTGTCTTGGGTGGTCCTACACAGCATGACTCCTAACTTCATTGAGTTACACAAGCCCCTTCACCACAATAAGGCAGTGATCAATGAAGGGGAGAAATTCCCTTCATAGAGACCTTACTCAGCTGACAATGGTCTATATAGTCAAGGCTATGGTCTTCTCAGTGGTCATGTATGGTTGTGAGAGCTGGACCATAAAGAAGGCAGAATACCAAAGAGTTGAGACTTTCAAAGTATGGTGCTGGAGAAGACTTCAAATATCCTTGGACAGCAAGGAGGTCAAATCAGTCAATCTTAAGGGAAATCAACCCTGAATACTCATTGGAAGGACTGATCTGAAGCTGAAGCTCCAGTATTTTGGTCATCTGATGCAAACAGCTCACTCATTGGAAAAGTCCTTGATGCTGGGAGATATTGAGGGCAAAACGAGAAGAAGGCATCAGAGAATGAGATGGCTGGATGGCATCACCAATGCAATGAACATGAACTTGGGCGAGCTTCAGGAGATGGTGAGGGACAAGGAGGCATGGCCTTCTGCAATCTATGGGGTCACAAAGAGCTGGACACGACTGGGCAACTGAGAAACAACAACATGGCAGCTCTTTTTTTTTTTTTTTTTTTAGTTTTTTTTAAAGAAACTTCCATTCTATTCTCCATAGTGACTGAGCCAATTTATGATTGCACCAACAGTGTAGGAGGGTTTACCTCTCTCCACGTCATCTCCAGCATTTACTATCTGTCCATTTTTTGATGAGAGCCATTTTGACTCTAGGGTCATATCTATCTCACTGTAGTTTTCCTTTGCATTTCTCTAATAATGCTATGTTGAACATCTTTTCATGTGCTTCTTGACCATCTGTATGTCTTCTTTGGAAAAGCGTCTCTTTAAATCTTCTGCCCATTTAAAAAATTTTAAATTAAAAAATGTTTTTTTTTTTGTTTCAGTGATGTTAGGTTTCATGAGCTGTTTGTAGATTTTGGAGACTAATCCCTTGTCAGTCACATCATTTGCGAACATTTTCTCCCAATATGAGGGTTGTCTTTTCATTTATTATTTCTTTTGCTGGGCAATAGCTTTTGAGTTCAAGGAGATTCTATTTGTTTATTTTTTATTTTAGTTCCATTATTCTGGGAAAGTATATATATATATATATATATATATATACTTTATGATTTATGTTAGAGAGTGTTCTGCCTATGTTTTCCTCTGGGAGTTTTTTTGTTTGTTTGTTTGTTTTTGGTTTTTTTTTTGGTGTAGAATATTTATTTATTTATTCCATGGAACACTCAAAGTTTAGATCAGTGGGAATTTTAATCAAAGAATTGTACATTTTCTTCCCACATATATCACTTTGTATTAGGAAATGACATTGTGATCCATTTCACTACAATATTACAAAATATTTACAAGAAAATATTAAAAATAACTCAAACATGAAAGGTAAGATGGGGGTGAAATAAACTGGTTTTTCCAGAAATCTCTACTCCAGTGCCCACAGCACACAACAAGAGAGCCAAAACAAAGTTCACCTTGATCACAAATTTCCAAGGAATTGGAGTAGGGGAAGATATCAGATGAAAATGATGGAATGAAGGGGGATGAATGTTATTAGCAGCACTGCTTCAATAACCTGTTTATTTTGCATGAAATACCCTCTTTTATATGCAGTAAATTCTGAACAAGGCTAAACTTTAGGATATTCCTTTAACTGAAATTAAAAATACCCTGACAGTGAAAGCAACTCTTTCACCTAAGCTGAAGAAGAGCCTCTTTCTCCGTGAACCACTGATGTGAACAGAAGGCTTATCTAGCATGCAAAGCTGTTACAGCAGCCCTTCCATCTCTTTCATGAAAGCCTCATAGACATCATCCTTAGTCTGCACCAACACGGGAACAGATGGGCCATATTTGGGCGCTGTTTTGACAAGAGGCACAGCAGAATCATCCTTTGACTTTCTCTGGGGAGCAGCAGCAGCCCCTTTATTCTTCCAATGCACCCACAGTGTGGTGGGCACGAATTGTGTGATCTCTGCCTTGGAATTAGTGATCTGTGGCTTGGCACTGATGGTTGCTGTAGCTTTCTTCTAGATGGTGGCTGTGCTTGTGTCATCCACCTTGGGTCACTGGATCAAGTTGGGGGGAGCACTTAGAACCCCCGGGTTGGGTAAGGGAGCTGGTGGGAAGAGCCCAGGTCGGGCAGGTCCAAGAGGAGGCACCAGAGGTGGGCACAACATGCCAGGACGGGGTGGAGGGATACCTGGAGGTGCAGGGGGAGGTAGCCGTGGTGGGGGTCCCCGAGGAGGAGGGCCAGGAGGCAGGCCTGGAGGTGGACCTGGGGGAGGACCAGGGGCCGACCTGGTGGTGGGCCTGGAGGTAAAAGTCGGGGTAGAGGCCCTCGGAGTCCCAGCATTCCAGGTGGTCTCAGGAATGGAGGAGCTCCTGGAGGTGGTCCAGGAGGAAGGCCTGTAGGTGGTCTAGGTAGCCGTAAAGGTGGAGCAGGTGGTGGTATAAGCGGAGGTGGTCCTGGCATGGGGGGTGCTTGTATCTGATATGAAGGAACAGACTGTGGAGGGGCTTGCTGCTGGGAAGCTGCAGATGTGTCATTAGAGAGAGAGTCCTCCTTATGCTGTTTCTGTGACTGCTTTTCTGCTTCAGAATCATCCGACTCTTCATCATCGTCCTCTGAAAACTCCTCGACTTCTCGTCCCTCCTCAGGGATTTCCTGGCCTGCCATTCGAAGCATCATGGCTTAGAGAGGAGTCAGCTCCTTCATGTTCTTCTTCTTCTTTCTAGATTTTCTAGGCATATCTGCAAACCGTACACTCAGACCTGATTTTTTTCGTCATTGTTTTCTCTCTCAGTGTCATCACGGTGTACAAATTCATCCCCTTCACTTTCTCCATTGAATCTGTCACTGTCACTGTCATCAGTACTGTCATCATGCTTATCCTGGTCCATGTCTTCAGGACAGCCATCATCTTTACTGGTGCTAGAAACATCATCGTCATGACCCCGCTGAGGAAGTTCAGGACTATATAACATGTCTTCATCTCGCCTACGAGTGGGAAGATCTAAGGCAAAGCCCACTTTGCGGCCATACATTTGTAAGACTTGAGGAGGAGGTGGGACCAGGGGAAGACCTGGAGGTTTCCTGCCAGGGGGCAAACGTGGAATGCCATGTCCAAGAAGAGGAAGTATAGAAACTGCCCAAGTTAGAGGTCCATAGGCTGAGGTCTTCTTAAGAATGGAGGGTGGCTGTGCCCCAGGAAGTGGAATGTCCTGGATCAAGATGTTGGAAGGAGCATGCGGCATATCTGGCAGAGGAATACTCTCCACTTCCACATGCTGGGCATCCTTGACAGCATCAAAATATTAGCTAAGTTGAGACCTCTTCTGTTCATATTCTACTTCTAGCTTTCTAAGTTCTTTGTAAATATCCGGATTCTCTTTCTCATAGAGTCGTAGAATACGTTCAAATGTTTCACGTAGCTTTTTACACTTATCTTTTATCACTTTCTCATTTAACTGTGGCTGCTGCACTTGGTTAAACTCCATTTCACCCAATTTTTCCATGTCCCGGATAATTTGTTTGGAATCCTTCATCTTTAAAACTGCAGCTCGTAGCATCATGCACTGTTTTTTGTTCTTCTTTAATTCTCTTTTTCCGAGCTTCTTTTCTGGCTTGGTCTATAGGATTCATAAATTTTCCACTTTTGGTGGATGACGTGGATCTCTGCCCCATGTTGACAAGTTGTTTGATTTACTAGCTTGTTTAAAAAATAAAACCTAGAAGGCTTCTGCTGGGCTCCTGGGGCTTGAGAAGTAGGGAGGGGATGATTCTCGGGCCATTTGACTTCATAGGGGTCTTTACCTCGGCCTTTTGGTCAACAACCCAACCACCACCATCTTGAAACCTCGCGCCCCTCCCCTCTGGGAGTTTTATAGTGCTCAGTCTCATATTTAGGTCTATAATCCATTCTGAGTTTATTTTTGTGTATGGTGTTAAAGAATGATCTAATTTCATTTTTAAAATGTAGCTGTCCACTATTTTCAGCACCATTTGGTGGAGGCTGTTTTTCCAACATGTACAGTCTTGCCTCCTTTTTTATAGATTAACTGACCAGAGCTGCATTTGTTTTATTTGTTGTTGTCATTGTTTTTCCCTTAGTTTTCTATCCTGCTCCATTTATCTATTTCCTATTTTTGTATTAGTACCATGTTGTTTTGAAGAATGTAGCTTTGTCATACAGTCTGAAGTCAGGGAGCCTGATTCTTCTAGCTCCAATTTTCTTTCTCAATATTGTTTTCACTACTGAGGGTATTTTGTGTCTCCGTGGAACTTTTAGATTTTTTTGTTCTAGTTCTGTGAAAAATATCATTGGTAATTTGATAGAGATGGCATTAAATCTGTTGATTCCCTTGATCTGTATAACTAATGATTCTTCCAGTCCAAGAACATGGTATATCTTTCCACCTGCTTGTGTCGTCTTCAATTTCTTTCATCAGCATCTTAACGATTTTCAGAGTACAAGTCTTTTGTCTCCTTGCATGTGTATGTGCTATGGCCCTTCAATCATGTCTGACCCTTTGCGACACTATGGACTGTAGCCTGCAGGCTCCTCAGTGCATGGGATTCTCCAGGCAAGAATACTGGATTGGGTTGCCATGCTCTCCTCCTGGGGATATTCCTGACCCAGGGATTGAACCTGCATCTCTTACATCTCCTGCATTGGCAGATGCATTCTTTACCACTAGTGCCACCTGGGAAGCCCTTTGTATCCTTAGGCAGGTATATTTCTAGGTATTTTGCTCTTTTTGATGTGATAGTAAAGAGGATAAATTGTTTAATTTCTGATCTTTCATTGTTAGTGTTTAGAAATGCAACAGATTTCTGGGTATTAATTTTACATCTTGCAAGTTTTCTAAATTCTTTGATGAGCTTTGGTAGTTTTCTGATACAATGTCAGGATTTTCTATGTATAGGATCAAGTCATATTCAAACAGTGGCTATTTTTCTTCTTTTACAGTTTGGATTCCTTTTATTTATTTATTTATGTATTATATTTTCTGATTACTATGGTTAGGACTTCTAAAACTATGCTGAATGAAACTGACAAGAGTGGACATCCTTCTTTGCTCCTGATCATAGAGGAAATGCTTCAAACTTTTCACTGTTTAGTATGTTCTTAGCTGTAGGTTTGTCATATATGGCCTTAATCTTTTGATGTATGTTCCCTCTATGCCCACCTAAATAATGTCTTTAATAAGGGTGCTGGGAAACCTTGAGAGTTACCTATAAAAAAAATCAAATTAGAACATTCTTTAATACCAAACACAAAAATAAACTCAATATTGATTAAAAATCTAAATGTAAGACTAGATACATAATGATAAGGAAGCTGTGGTACATATACACTATGGAATATTACTCAGCCATTAAAAATAATTCATTTGAATCAGTTCTAATGAGTTGGATGGAACTGGAGCCCATTATACAGAGCAAAGTAAGCCAGAAAGATAAAGACCATTACAGTATACTAACATATATATATGGAATTTAGAAAGATGTTAATGATAACCCTATATGCAAAACAGAAAAAGAGACACAGATGAACAGAACATACTTTTAGACTCTGTGGGAGAAGGCGAGGGTGGGATGCTTCGAGAGAACAGCATCAAAACATGTATATTATCTAGGGTGAAACAGATCACCAGCCCAGGCTGGATGCATGAGACAAGTGCTCAGACCTGGTGCACTGGGAAGACCCAGAGGAATCGGGTGGAGAGGGAGGTGAGAGGGGGATCGGGATGGGGAATACATGTAAATCCATGGCTGATCCATGTCAATGTATGACAAAAACCACTACAATATTGTAAAGTAATTAGCCTCCAACTAATAAAAATAAATGATAAAAAAAAAGGCTGGATAAAATAATAGTCATAGATGGAAACATATGCAGACTACACTCTGGCATAAATTGCAGCAAGAGTTTTTTTGATCCACTTCCTAGTGTAATGGAAATAAAAGCAAAAGTAAACAAATTGGATTTAATTAAACTCAAAAGCTTTTCACAGCAAAGGAAACCATTAAAAAATCCAAAAAAGCCAGCCCTCAAATTGGGAGAAAGTATTTGCAAATGATCCAGCTGACAAGGGAGTCCTCTCCAAAATTTACAAACAGTTCAATATCTAAAAAACAAAGCGACCAATCAAAAAATGGGCAGAAAACCTAAAGAGACATTTCTCCAAAGAAGATACACAGATGGCTAAGAAGCACATAAAAATATATTCAACATCACTAATATTAGAAAAATACAAATCAAAACTACAATGAAACATCACTTCACACCGATCAGAATGGTCATCACCAAAAAATCTACAAACAATAAATTAGGGAGAGTATGTGGAGAAAAGGAACTCCTCCTGCTTTATCGGTAGAAATGGAAATCCATACAACCACTACGGAGAACAATATTGACGTTCCTTAAAACATAGAGTTATCATGAGATCCAGCAATCCCATTCCTGGGCATATATCCTGATAAAAACATGGTTTGAAATGAAACATGTACCCCAATGTTCACTGCCACATTGTATACAATAACCAAGATATGGAAACACCCTAAATTTCCACCAAGAGATTAATAGATAAAGAAGATGTGGTACACATATACAATGGAATATTACTCAGCCATTAAAAATGAAATAATGTCATTTGCAGCAACATGGTTGTACCTGGAGATTATCATACTAAGTGAAGTAAGTTAGACAGAGAAAGATAAATATCATATTGATAGCTTATGGTGAACGATGTTGGATTCTTGATCTCTGAAGAAGAAGATTTAGCTTTGGGACCAGGGAACAGGTTTGATCATTCAAGGGTTTTTGTGTACCAAAGTTTTATTAAGGTATAACAAGGGACAGAGAAAGCTTCTGACTTAGATATCAGAAGAGGTACAGAAAGTGCCCCCATTCACTAGTCTTTATCAAGGCCTTATATACTTTTACCAGACTGACTCCCACAACATACATCTTAAATTAACAAGATTAGAACTAACAATAGAAAGGTCTTACCAGAACCACTCACACAATATAATATTATCTTAAGATAACAAGAATAGTCAGAAGGTCCTTGCTAAGGAGAAACATGTTCTGGAGCAAGGCACATTTTTATATTGACTAAGACAAAGGATGTAGAAAATGTAGAGATGCAGAAAAATGTCATTTTCTCCTCCTTGAGAACCCTAGACTTCTTCCTCCTTGAAGGCTGCAGACTCCTTATCAACCTGCCTAAGGATTAGCTCGCTCAATATGATTCCACATATATGTGGATTCTAAAATATGATAGAAATGAACTTATTTACAAAACAAATGTAGACTCACATACTTAAAGAACAAACCAAGGATGAAATGATAGATTAGTCTGGATTGACATAAACAAATCACTGTATGCAAAATAAAATGCTTTTCCAAGTTAAAAAAAAATAAAGAATTAAAATCATATACTCATCTGAACAGAAGTATAAATGTTGTTTGACCAAATTCAACATCATTTCATGATAAATAATCTCAAAACCTGGAATATAAGAAGAATATTTCAGCATAATAAAGGCCATATATAAAAAGTCCATATCTCTATTCAAAGTCAATTATGAAAAACTATTTTTCTCTTAAGATCCACTTCTTCTATTGAAAATAATACTAGAAGTCCTAATCAGAGCAATTAGGCAAGAAAAAAGAAATAAAAGGCATCCAAATCAAAAAGAAAGAAGCAAAACAGTATTTTTTTTATATGACATGAAATTATATGTAAAAAATAAGCTAAGTCTGTTCTTAAAGGCTGTTGGAATGAATCAATGAATTCAGTAATGTGAAGGATAAAAGATTTCACATACAAAAATTTATACCACTATTATACCATTAGATATCTGAAAGAAAATTAGGAAAAGTACCCCTTTCACAATATCACTAAAAGTATAAAACCCTTAGAAATAAAGTTAAGAAGGTGAAAAACTGTCTCCCTATACACCAATAATTAACTATCAGAAAGAGAAATTAAGAAAATAATCCCACTTATAATTGCTTTAGAAAGAGTAAAATATCTAGGAACAAACTTAACCAAGAATGTTATGTATCTGTATAGTAAAAACTATAATACTATAAAAACTATAATACATTAATGAAAGAAAATGAAGACACAAATAAAGGGAATAATAACCAAAGCTCATGTTTTGGAATAATTAATATTGTTAAAATATCCATGCTATACAAAGCAATCTACAGATTCAAAGGAATACTTATCAAAATTTTCAATGGTATTTTTCACAGAAATAGAACAAACAAGCTTAAAATTTGTATGGAGTCATAAAAGACCCCGAATAGCCAAAGCAATCTTAAGAAGAACAAAGGTGGAAATATCACATTGCCTGATTTAAAACTATATTATTAAGCTATAATAATAAAAACTGCATGATGTTGGCATAAAAAATACATAAATGAGACAGAATAAATAGCTCAGAAATAAACCCATAAAATTATGGTCAATTAAATTTACAACAAAGGAGCCAAGAATATAAGATGAGGAAGAACAGTCTTTTCATTAAATTTTGGGAAAACTGGATACCCACATGCATTGAATGAAACTGGACTATCTTGCATCATACACAAAAATTAACTCACAATAGATTAAAGATTTCAATGTAAGTCATAAAACCATAAATGTCTTAAAACAAAAAAAAAGTGGTAAGTTCAGCTAGCACTAGCACTGTTGTTCAATCATGTCCAACTCTTTAGACTCCATGGACTGTATCCCACCAGGCGCCATTGTCCATTGAATTTTCCAGGCAATAATACTAGAGCCGGTTGCCATTTCTTACTCCAAGAATTCTTCCTGTCTCATGGATGAAACCCATGTCTCTTGCATCTCCTGTATTGGTAGGTGGATTCCCTATGACTATGCCATCTAGGAAGTCCATAATCTCACCTACATTGGTTTTAGTGAAATTTTTGTGAATCTGACTCCAAAGGCTAGGTAAACAAATGTAAAAAGTAGGAAGAAGAATTATATCAGTCTAAAAAGCTTTGGCACAGAAACCACCGTCAAAATGAAATTTATCTTACTGAATGGGGGAAGATATTTGAAAATCACATATTTGATATGGGATTAATAACTAAAATATATAAAGAATTCATACAACTCAACATAAAATTAAAAAAAAAAAACTCATTTATAAAACTTGGGGAAAAGATCTGAATAGACATTTTTCCAAACAAACATACAAAGGCCAACAGATACATGAAAAGATGTTCAACATCACTAATTATTAAAGAAATGCAAATTAAAACTACAATGAAATATTGCTTCACACGTGTTAGAATGACTATTGTCATAAAGACAAAATTAATAAACGTTGGAGACTATCTGGAGAAAAGTAAACTCCTATACTTTTGATGGGGACATAACTTGGTGTGGCCACTATGAAACACAGTGTGAAGGTTCCTCAAAAAATTAAAAACAGTACTACTTTATGATCCATCAATTTCATCTCTAAGTATTTATCTGAAGAAAATGAAGACACTAATTTGAAAAGATATATACATCTTCGTGTTTACTGCAGCATGACTTACAACAGTTAGTTAAGACATAACACAAGTGTCCATTAGTTGATGAATGGATAAAGAAAATATATCTGTGTGTGTGTATATATACATACATATATATATATATGTATGGAGTATGGATGGAACTCAAGAGCATTATGTGAAATGAAACGTTAGACAAGGAAAGATAAACACCATATGATCTCATTTATGTATGGATTATGAAAAAAAATGAGCTCATGGATATAGTGAACATATTAGTGACTGCCTGGAAGCAGGGGTGAAATCAATGAAAGGGGTCAAAATGGGCAAATTTCCACTTACATAATGTATGTAATGCCTATATAGTGTACTGTTCATTGGGTTCTCAAAGCAAGGATACTGAAGTGGTTTGTCATTCCCTTCTGCAGTGGACCATGTTTTGTCGGAACTCTCCACTATGAACCATCTGCCTTGGGTGGTCCTACATGGCATCACTTATAGTTTCATTGAGATAGACAAGTCTGTGGTCCATAAAATAATATAGATAAGAAAGCCTTCCTTGGTGATCAAAGCAAAGAAATAAAGGAAAACAATAGAATGGAAAATACTAGAGAATCTCTTAAAGAAAATTAGAGATACCAAGGGAATATTTCATGCAAAGATGGGCACAATAGAGGACAGAAATAGTATGGACCCAGCATAAGCAGAAAATATTAAGAAGAGGTGGCAAGAATTCACAGAAGAACTATACAAAAAATATATTCATGATCCAGATAACCACAATGGTGTGATCATTCACCTAGAGCCAGACATCCTGGAATGCGAAGTCAAGTGGGCCTTAAGAAGCATCGCTATGAACAAAGCTACAGGAAGTGATGGAATTCCAGTTGAGCTATTTCAAATCCTAAAAGATGATGCTATGAAAGTGCTGCATTCAATATGGCAGCAAATTTGGAAAGCTCAGCAGTGACCACAGGATGGAAAAGATCAGTTTTCATTCCAATCCCAAAGAAAGGCAATGCCAAAGAATGTTTAAACTACCACACATTGCACTCATCTCACATGCTAGCAAAGTAATGCTCAAAATTCTCCAACTGAAGCTTCAACAATATGTGAACTAAGAACTTCCAGATGGTCTAGCTGTATTTAGAAAAGGCAGAGGAACCAGAGATCAAATTGCCAACATCCGCTGAATCATAGAAAAAGCAAGAGCGTTCCAGAAAAACATCTACTTCTGCTTTATTGATGACACAAAAGCTTTTGACTCTGTGTAACACAACAAACTGTGGAAGATTCTTCAAGAGATGAAAATGCCAGACCACTTTACCTGTCTCCTGATAAATCTGTATGCAGGTTAAGAAGCAACAGTTAGAAGTGGGCATGGAACAATGGACTGGTTCCAAATTGGGAGAGGACTGCCTCAAGGCTGTATATTGTCACCCTGCTTATTTAACTCATATGCAGATTACATCGTGCAAAATGCTGGGTTGAAGGAAGCACAAGCTGGAATCAAGATTGCTATAATAATATCAATAACATCAGATACACAGATGACACCATCCTTATGTCAGAAAGCAAAGAAGAACTAAGGAGCCTCTTGATGAAAATGAAAGAGGAGAGTGAAAAAGTTTCCTTAAAACACAACATCCAAAAAACTGATTATGGCCTCTGGTCCCATCACTTCATGTCAAATAGATGGGGATGAAATGGACAGAGTGACAGACTTTGTTTTCTTGGGCTCCAAAATCACTGCAGATGTTGACTACAGACATGAAATTAGAAGGTGCTTTCTCCTTGGAAGAAAAGCTATGACTAATCTAGACAGCATATTAAAAAACAGAAATATTACTTTGCTGACAAAGATCCATCTAGTCAAAGCTATGGCTTTTCCAGTAGTAATGTATGGATGTGAGATTTGGTCTATACAGAAAGTATCAGGAGTGGTCCCAAGATAGCAGAGGACTAGGACAGGGAGACCATTTTCTCCCCTACAAATTCATCAAAGCATCATTTGCATGTTGAACAACTTCCACAAAACAACTTTTGAATGCTGGTGGAGGACACCAGGCACCCAGGAAGGCAGCCCATCTCTTCAAAAGGAGGTAGGACAAAATATAAAAGACAAAAACTGAGACAAAAGAATTAGGGACAGAGAACCTTTTTGGAGAGTGAGTCAAAAAGGAGAAGTCTCTACACAGTAGAAAACCCTCTCACAGGTGGGTCTGTGGGGAATTTTGGAATCTCAGAGGGCAACATAACCAGGACGAAAAGAAAAACAAAACAAAACAAAACAAAACAACAACACTCACAGAATGTGAGCCTAACCACAACTGCCTGTGAAGAAGAGGCCCACAGGTTTGTGTTGCCACCAGCAAGTGGAGGCTGGACAGGGAGGTATGGCTGCATCATCCATCCTTACGGTAAGGACTGGGTCAGAATGCCCTGAGGACAATATGACTGAACTAATGTGAGAAAGCAACCCAAACCGTGGGATCACCAGAGAGAAAAAAAAGAAAAAAAAAAAAGAGAGAGAGAGAGAGAGAGATCCTGTGAAAGGTACTACATGGTGACCTCTTGCACACTCACAGAACACAGGATTGAACGAATACCAAAAGAGAGCAAGCAGGCTGCATACAGGGCCCTCCCTCCTTGGAGGCAGAGGCAGGCGAGCCAACCAGAGCCCGAAGTCAAGGGGCTTCTGCAATCTCAGTCCCAGAGACCGCATCTTCCACAAACTGTGAGCAGGCTCCCAGTAGCGAACCTCATCTTCCTGGGATCCTGGATGGTTGACATCTGCCAGGAGTGTCACAGCCGGAGATGAGCTCCACAGAGGAGACACATGGCACACCTGGGACTGTGTTCTCACAGAACACCTGGGAAACCAAGCGGCGGGGACTGGGCAGGTGAATAAGATGTCTGGTCCACCTTTGACAGTGCAGTTGCCAATCACCTGGTCACCTGAGCTGCTCGAACCTGGCAAAGGCACAAATTGCACAGCCCATTCATGTTTGTGTCCTTGCGAAGTACCTGGGAACCTGAGTGGCTCAGATCTGGGGAGAGCAGGAAATGTATGGCCCACTTGGGACAGTACCATTGCAGAGCACTCTGGAGCCTGAGCAGTGTAGACCCAGGAAGCACATGCCACCTTGGACTGTGGCAAACCCAGTGTGGTCCATCCACTGTGAGCACTCCACACACATGCCAGAAGTATTTGTTTGCAGTGTCCCTCCCTCCCCACAACACAACTGAACAAGTAAACCTAAATAAGTGATGACCTTTGCCCCCTTGTGTGAGGGCAGAAGTTAGACCCTGAAGAGTCTTGCAAACAGAGGAAGTCAAAATAAACAAAGAAGGGGAAACTGCTCTGGAATGAACAGATAAAACAAATTAAAACCCTGCATTTGATACTGGAGACATTTTAGGGGCACCTATAGAACTTAATCATCTTGTCCCATCACCTCACGGGAAATAGATGGGGAGAAAGTGGAAACAGTGTCAGACTTCATTTTTTTGGGCTCCAAAATCACTGCAGATGGTGACTGCAGACATGAAATTAAAAGACGCTTACTCCTTAGAAGGAAAGTTGTGACCAACTTAAATAGCATATTAAAAAGCAGAGACATTACTTTAACAACAAAGGTCCATCTGGTCAAGGGTATGGTTTTTCCAGTGGTCATGTATGGATGTGAGAGTTGGACTGTGAAGAAAGCTGAGTGCCTAACAATTGATACTTTTGAAATATGGTGTTGGAGAAGACTCTTGAGAGTCCCTTGGACTGCAAGGAGATCCAACCAGTCCATCCTGAAGGAGATCAGTCCTGGGTGTTCATTAGAAGGACTGATGCTGAAGCTGAAACTCCAGTACTTTGGCCACCTCATGCGAAGAGTTGACTCATTGGAAAAGACCCTGATGATGGGAGGGATTGGGGGTAGGAGGAGAAGGGGACGACAGAGGATGAGACGGCTGGATGGCATCACTGACACGATGGGCATGAGTTTGAGTAAACTCTGGGAGTTTGTGATGGACAGGGAGGCCTGGCGTGCTGAGATTCATGGGGTCGCAAAGAGTTGGACACGACTGAGCGACTGAACTGAACTGAACTGATAGAACTTGAGAACAAGTACAAGTCAGAAGAAGGGAATATCTGACATTGAACTGACCCCACACTGCCCACAAGAGCACCACAGAAATTACTAGATGTACTTTTACTATTATTACTTTTAATTTTTTTAAAGCTTAGTTCTTTTCTTTTTTATGTATTATTTATTATATATTATATAATATTTGATATTTGATATAAAATATATGAAACATATTATAATAATATAATTATATATTATAATAATTATAATATAATTATAAATAAATAATATGATTAAATATATTTAAATATTTTAAGTATAATTAAATATAATATAATTGTATAATAATATACTATATATTAATATTTGATATATTTAATATTAAATATATAATTTTAATTGGAGGCTAAGTACTTTACAATATTGTGGTGGTTTTTGCCATACAATCACATAAATCAGCCATGGATATACATGTGTTCCCCATCCTGACCCTCCCTCCCACCTCCCTCCCCGCCCCATCTCTCAGGGTCATCCCAGTGCACCAACTTAGTTCTTTATTACTCCCTTAACTTTTTTATTTTTATAGCCTACTATTTTATTACCTTTTGAAAAAATCTATTTAAAAATAATCCATATTTTTTTTTAAAAAAATATGACTGTTTTGCACTTTTTATATTGTATTCTTGAGATTCTAACCTCTATTCTAGGTTTCTAATCTTTGCTTTTTGGTATTTGTTATCAATTTTGTACCTCTAAGAATCTAACCTTCAGTATCTGTTTTCACTTAGGGATTTGATTACCAGCTTGACCTCTCTCCCTGTTTGATTCCCTTTTCTCCTCCAGGTCACCTCTATTGCCTACCTCCCTATTCTTTTCTCTACACAACTCTGTAAATCTCTTTGGGTGCTCCAGATTGTGGAGAGCTCTTAGAGATTAGATTACTTGACAGACTGATCTCTTCCCTTATGATGCCCCCTTTTCTACTGTTCACCTCTCTCTCCCTGCTCCCTATTCTATTCTCTGTATAACTCTTTGAATGTTGCTGGGTATTCCTGGCTGTGAAGAATTGTTTCACCAATAAATCTAGAAAATTTATCTTCTATGGTGTATGGATGGAGAAATATTGAGGCTACTGTAAGAAAAGGACCAACAGCCAGAGGCAGGAGGCTTAACTCCAAAACTTTACAACATCAGAAAATTCCAGAACCTTAATAGAAAAAAGCCCACCCCAAAGTCTACAGATCTACACAGAAACTAAGCTCCTCCCAAGAGCCAACAAGATCCAATGCAAGACACACCATGATAATTCTCCAGCAAAACAGGAGCACAACCCTGAACATGAAACAAGCTTCCCAAACCAAACTAAACCCATAGGACACAGCAAAACTTACTAGTGGACACTGCATTCCACTCCAGAGAGAAGAGATCCAGTTCCACACACCAGAACACAGATACAAGCCCCCCCCCCCAAACAGGAAACATCAACAAGCCATTAGTCCATCCCCACCCACAGGGAGCAGACTCCACAATTAAGAGGAACCATACACTTCCACCCTGCATAAAGGGCACCCCAAACAATCTAAACAAAGTGAAAATGCAGAGAGATATTCAGTAGGTGAAGGAACTTGGTAAAAATCCACCAAACCAGGGGGCTGTCCTAAGATGACAGAGGAATAGGATGGTGAGACCACTATCTCCCCCACAAATTCATCAAAAGATCATTTGAATGATGAGCAAATACCACAAAATAACTTCTGAACGCTGGTGGAGGACATCAGGTACCCAAAAAAGCAGCCCATTGCTTCAAAAGAAGATAGGACAAAATATAAAAGATAAAAAGAGAGACAAAAAAGTTAGGGACAGAGACCTATCCCAGGGAGGGAGTCATAAAAGAGGAGAAGTTTCCAAACACCAGGAAATCCTGTCACCAGTGGGTCTGTGGGGAGTTTTGGAATCTCAGAGGGCAACATAACCGGGAGGAAAAAAAAAATAAATAAAACCCACAGATTATGCGCCTAACTACAATTCCCAGTGGAGAAATAGCCCAGACATTCGCTTCTGCCACCAGCAAGCAGAGGCTGAACAGGGAGGCACAGGCTGTACTGCTTAGGGTAAAGACCAGGCCTTAATGCCCTGAGGACAATCTGAGGGACCTAACATGAGATAGCAACACAAATCATGGGATAGCCAGAGAGAGGGGGGAAAAAAAAAAAGAGGAAAGAGAACAAGAGAACTTTCCTGTGAAAAGCTCTAACCTAAGGCCCACTCACAGAACAAACGACTAAGCGAATACCAGAGGAGAGCTAGCCAGCAGCAGACTGGCCCATTCCCCCACCAGAGGCAGGGAGGCAAGCAGGCAACAGCCAGAGCCTGAAGGCAAGGGGCAAAGGGCTCCAGAGACGGCATCTCCTACCAAACTGCGAGCAAGCTCCCAGTTGCTAACAAAGTCTTCTTGGGATCCTGGACGGCTGACATCCACCAGGAGGGTCGAAGCCAGAGATCAGCTCCCCAGAGAAGACACAAGGCACACCTGAGACAGTGCTACTGCTCCACACCCAGGAAACTGAGCAGCTGGGACGGGTGAGGTGATAAGATGCACCTGGGGAGTGTGCTCTCGCCAAGCACCTGGTCGCCTGAGCTGCTCGGACCAGGGAAGCACACAAAACACAGGCCCAACCAAGTCTGCACCTTTGTGGAGTACCAGAGAATCTGAACCTGAGTGGCTTAGACCTGGGAAGTGCACGCAACCCAGGGCCTGCCTTAGACAGTTCCCCTGCAGAACAACCTCGATCCTCAGCAGTGTAGACCTGGAAAGCACACATGCTGTGAGCGTGGGCAAATCCAGTGTGGCCCAGACACTGTGAGTACTCCCCACACACACCAGTGGTATTTGTTTGCAGTGTTCCACCCTCCCTGCAGCACAATTGAACAACTGAGTCTAAATAAATGACCACCTCCAGCCCTTTGTATCAGGGCAGAAGTTAGATACTAAAGAGACTTGCAAACAGAAAAAAAAAAAAACAAAATAAACAAAGAAGAGGAAACTGTTTTGGAAGTGAAAGGTGCAACAGATTAAAATCATGTAATTAACATTAGCTACATTGGAAGGGACCTATAGACCTTGAGAAGTATAAACTGGAACAAGGAAATATTTGAAACTGAACTGACCCCACACTGCCCTCAACAGCTCCAGAGAAATTCTTAGATATCTTTTACTATTATCATTAAAAAAAAAATAAGTCCTTTATTACTCCTTAAGCTTCATTTTTAAAACCTACTATTACCTTGCAAAAAAAAAAAGACCCTTTTAAAATATGTATATATATATACACACACACATATATATATATATAACTTTTGTGATTTTTTTAATATTATATTTTTGAGAGTCTAAACCTCTACTCTAGATTTTTAATCTTTGCTTTTTGATATTTGTTATCAATTCTGTACCTTTAAGAACCAAATCTTCAGTATCCATTTTTACTTAGAAGTGTGACTACTGACTTGATTGCTCTCTCCCCTTTTGAATCTCCTTTTTCTCCCCCAGGTCACCTGTATTTCCCACCCCCCACCCCCCGCCCCTTCTCTCCTATACTTAACTCTGTGAATCTCTTTGGGTGCTCTGTGCTGTGGAGAACACTTAGGGAATTGATCACAGACTAGATTGGTCACTCTTCTTTTAAATCCCCCTCCTCTCCTCCTGGTCACCTCTATCTCTTTCCTCCCTCTTCTGTTCTTATGGAATTCCATGAACCTCTCTGAGTGTTCCAGATTGTGGAGAGCACAAAGAATATTGATTACTAGCTAGATTGCTCTCTCCCCTTTTGATACCGCCACTTCTCCTGGTCACCTCTATCTCCCTCCTCCCTCTTCTCCTTTCCTTGTAACTTTGTGAACCTCTCTGGGTATCCTCCACTTTTCACC